CCCATCCTCTCAGCAACAAGCTACTGCAAGCATTGGGAACTGTCTGCTTGCTATGGGACCTTGGCCAACATTTTAGGCCTCAGTCCTTCTATTCAAGGTATGACTGACCTGGGTCCCTGCTGTGGGATGTAGGGTATGGCTGACAGTTGCTCACAAATGTAGTATGTGTTTGCAAAATAATCCTGCCTGGTGGGGATCAGATCAGGATTTTCTGAAGGGAAGGTACAGAATTATGTATTGAGCTCTCCTACATCAGTGCAAACATTGCTGCCTGCTGTGCCAAAAGCCAGGCATCCTAAAGTTTCTTTAAGTTGTGGCTTTTTTCTCGTGCGTCCTATAGTTAAATACATGGTAATATGTAATATTAAAAAAAAAACAAAAAAAAAACCAAACAAACAAACAAAAAAAAACCAAAACAAACCCAAACAAGAAAACAACCCCCAAACTCCCTAAAATTTACCAAACCCCCGCTTGGGAGTGTCTCTGCTGCTGGCTGTATCCTTCTGCACACTCCTTTCTTTGCCTTGGCTCTGGTAGTCACCTCACTCCTTGGTACACTGGTTCAGTCCACTAATCCAGCAGAAAGCTAACCCAGCATAAAAGGAGGCAGAATTTTGAGCTTTGTTTGCTCTTTACTGGGTTAGTGAGCCTTGTCTCCAAAAGGGGCCAGGAGAGGAGAGGTGAGCTGCATGAGGAAGGGGGACTGCAAGAGGCTGCAGTAAAGGGTTAGATTTGCTCAGCCAACTTTGTGTGTGGTTTTTTTGGTGCACAGCAGGACAGGGCTCTGACACAGGGCCAGGTGCAGTGTGGGGAGCTGAGGGCACTGCAGGAGAATTGCAGCAGTGGCAGTTCTGGGGATGAGTAGAAGCTTTCCCTCTGGGGGTTATGTTCACCCATTTGCTACTCAGCCCTTGTCTGCTTTCAAAAGCATGCTAGGATAAAACCTCCAACCCAGCTGTGTCTCAGCTACCAAAATATCTCCTTTGCCCCTTGGCCAGCTGTCAAAACTTTCCTGGCCTTCCTAGAACAAGTGTCTTAGGGGATGTTTCCTTTGGCTGATGAGAGCTCAGGGGGATGCTCTGGAGATGACTGTGGGACAGCATGTTCACTGCCAGGTGTCTCCCCTAAGCCAGCTCCATCCCCTGAACTGCCTGGCCATCCCCTTAGTAATGCTCTGTGCTTGGTGTGCTCTGGAGGGTGACACTGTGGTTTGAGGAAGAAAGTGCTCCAGAATAAAAAATTGTGCAACTCAAGAGTCAAGAAAAAAAGCCTTAATTATTCAACTAGTTTGGAACACTTGAAAGTATCCCTAAAAATAGGTGAAACGGATGTTTGTCAGGTACAAAGAGATTTTCCTGCAGTAGTATTGCTTGTCTTATTTTATGATGATGCTACAGAATACAGTCCCTCAGGTAACCTCATTAATGTTTATGAACGAACCCCTTGTTTTATGCTTTTGGTTTGAGAAGGCAGAAATAGGGCAAGAGGCTAGTAAGACTGATTTTATCATATGTGCTTTGAAAAGCTCAAGGTAGGCTTATATCCCATGGCTGTAAGGTCTCTATAAGCATGTAATGTACATGGGCCAACGATTGGATTGGGTGCTTGCTAGAGATTTACCCTAAGGGAGAAATCCAGGCAGGACTTTGGCTGAAACCCTGGGTGGAATTCTGCACGCTTCCCAGCGGGTCTGTCAGCAGGAGGCTGGCACTCTTGTGTGCCTCATCAGTCGCGTTGTTTTGATCTCTCCCGGCAAAGGCAACCTGTGGCCATATGTTGTTCTAGCCACAAGCGCTTCCACAGGGCGGTATCGGGTGAAGCCTGCTGCCAGCAGCGCCTCAGCCCAGGGTGGAGGCTGCTCTCCACTATCTGTTCCTGAAAGAGGGCAACAGTTTCTTCTGGCTATCACAACAGGGCGGCAGTTACCAACAGCCCGGGACAGTGCGCGGTGGTTTCTGAGCCTCACCGCCCCGTCCTTAAAAATAACAGCTCTTTTTTCCGAGCCAACCAACAATTGTGGTCAGCCACGAATACCAGTTTAACCATTTGGCAGCCGCCCTATAGGAAACAGCTCTTTGCAGAGAGCCAGAGGAGCCCTAGAGTCACGCTGGGCTGGTTTTACTCAGCAGCGCACACTTAACAGATTTCCCTGTGTGCAGCCAGCCTCTTTAATAACAAGCAAATCCCGGGAAGTTAATACCAAACAAACTGTTAAAGTGTGCAAGAACTAGTCATTCAAAGGGATTCTTGATCTGATGAACGAGTGGGTAAAGCTCTGCTCCTCCCCACACAAACTCGCAGCTTGCTCTGTAGTTCCCTCTCCACCCGTTGCGTGTTGGGACTGTCAGCAGAGTTTATTTTGGGCTCGGTTCCACTACGCGCGGTAGCAGCCGGCTTCGCAAACAGCGCACCGCAACCGGAGCGGCCCCTCACGGCTTTGGGGCAGCAATAACGGGCTGCTGTCGGCCGGGGGGTCCCGCCCGGCCCCGGGAGCGCTGCCCCGCGTGCCGTGGCGGTGGGGCTGGCGCAGGCAGACCCCGGTGTCCTCTCCCGGTGTCCCCTCCCGGTCCCGCTCGCCGCACGTGGCGGGGGCTGCGCGGGGCGCGCGCCGGCCGCGCTGCCCGGTGCCCCCGGCGGGCGCTCTTTTTGAATGAATGACCTCACCCGCGCCGGCCAACCGCCGCGCGGCCGTGCTTAATATTCATGAGGCGCCGCGCCAATCAGCGGGCGAGGAGGTTGTTTTAAACGGCAGAGCCCCGCAGCCAATCAGGCCGCTCTCGTAGGCAGCCAACGCGAGGCTGAGCCGCGCCGAGCCCCGCGTCGTGCCCTGCGCTCCGCTCCTGTCCACACTACCGCGAACAATACAGGTACGTGCAGCCCCGCCGCAACTTTTCGGGGGGCGGCTGCCCCCTCCCCGCCCTGACCTCGCGCCTTCGTCCCTCCGTCCTGCCTGCCCCAGCATGCTTTTTTTTTTCTCTCTCTCTTTTTTTTTTTTTTTTTAAATGTTGCGTTCCGTTTCTTCCTTCCTCCGAGTTTTTGATTTTTTTTTTTTCTAATCAGAAAAAAATGGGGAAATTCACCCAAAACTTTGTTTCGCCGCTCTGGCGGGGCTCGGCGGTGGCGGGGCAGATGCTGCGCGCAGCTGGCGGGGCGGTGGGCAGCGGGCGAGGCGCGGCGTTCGTGCCCCGCCGTCCTGCCCTGCCCGCCGGGAGCTGCCCCCGCCGCCGCGGGGCCACCTGCCCCCGGTGCAGCCCCGCGGCTCCGCGCCGGGCTCCCGTGCCGCCGAGAGTAATATGGCTGGTGCAGCAACTACACCGGGACTAACTCCTCTTCTCCCCCGCATGGGCAGGGATTTTTCTCTGCCGCCTCCTAATGTCGCACGGCAAAACGCGCGGCGCCCTCGGCTTTTATGTGCCCCTTTCCCCGGGTGGGCTCGGTGGGGCTGGTGGTGGTGGGAAAGTTGTCGGCCGTGCGCAGTGCCGTGCCCGCTGTTTATTCTGCATTAATATGGCTGTCGCTTTAGCATCTGACAGGGATAAACCCTGCGCGCTGCGCCCGGCGGTCCCGGCCAAGCAGTTTTTTTCTCGCCGCCGCCGCCTCCAAACTCCCCCGATCCCTTCGCTTCTGCCTCCGCCGCTCTTCCCCTGCCCGAGAAGGTGTCTCTGGTGGGGCTGCGCCCGCGGCGGGGCCCCGCATCGCCTTTTCCCCGCGCCGCGCCGCCCGTGCTGTGGGCATTAATATGGCTGGCGCTGGAGAGCCCAGGCGAAGGGAAGAAAGACGTGTGAGCGGCACAGGGATGGGGAGGGGGGTCGCGGCGAGGAAAATCTCCTTCCCGGTGCCCCGCCGGGGGCTCAAACCTTTCGCTTTCGCCCCGGCTCCTCTCCCCCCACCTTCCCGTGTCCTCGGACGGGCGCTGGGGGGCCGCCCCGGGGCTCCCCGCACTCTTTTTCTGGCAGCGCGGAGGAGCGTAGCGGCGGCGGTAATGGCTGCACGGGAGCCTTTGTTAGAGAGCGCTGCGCTAGGCAGGGGCCGGGGGGGGGGGCNCGCCCCGGCCCCGGCCCCGGCTCCGCGCGTTCTCCGCCCCCGCGGGGGCAGCGCTGTCCCGGCAGCGGCCGGAGCGGGCAGGGCGGCTCGCGGGCACTTCTGCTGCACCTGGCGGGCTAATGGGCGCAATTAAATATTAACGCAGTGCTAATAAAAATTAAATTTTCAAGGGACTTAGAAGTTGTAAATAGAAAATACTGTTGTGGGCTTATGGTATTTTTTATTAAGAGGGGAGAATTTAATACGGAAGCAGGAAAAGAAATGGAGCCCAAAAGTTAGCACCATCGTTTCGGTAACTTGCCGCTTGCATCTTTGCACTGACCACTATGCCTCAAACATGTGTCACTTGGTGGAGCAAGAGCGAGCACAACTCACCTCGCAGAGCTCCACGGGTCCTGTTGTGGTTAAAGTCAGCCTGTGTTTGTGCTCTTTTTATATAAAAAAGGTTACTGCACTTTTTTGGGGAAACGAATTTGTCCTGCCTGCTTACCTGGGCAGCAGCTAAGACATGCAGTTGAGCTCCTGAAGGGATAAGGCACTGCCTGGCACTGTGCATGCCACTCCAGCCCCAGTGTGGTAGCCAACTAAAACAGATACTTTATATTAGTTCATATATAATGCTTAATAGGCAGAAGTATGTATATTTAATAGTCTGTCTCCAGTCTTTGGACATGATGTAAATATATATTAATGTAACACTTAAATCCAGTGGCTGGTTTCTCTTGGCTTGTCTGCAACCCAAGTATCAAGGGAGAATAATTTAAGTGTGTGTATTTGGGATGGTAAGATGTGTTAGGGGGAAGAAAGGGATGTGTTTCTGATGGGACATCACATCAGAAGATGATGAGGGGGTGTGTGTGTGTATAAATATATGCACACCATATGTGTATGCATGCATTGCTGTGTGCATTCATCTAAATATCATTTGTTTGTTATTCTTTCCTCTGTCCCTACAGAGTCAAGATGGCTAAAGGTGATCCGAAGAAGCCCAAGGGCAAGATGTCTGCCTATGCCTTCTTTGTGCAGACGTGCCGTGAGGAACATAAGAAAAAGAACCCAGAGGTTCCAGTCAACTTTGCAGAGTTTTCCAAGAAGTGCTCAGAGAGGTGGAAGGTACCTTAATTTGTGACTTCCTGAAGGGATAACTTCTTATAGTATTTGCTAGGATGATGTGTGTGTGTCTGAACATGAAGGGAGCCGCTGCTGTTTTGGTCTGTGTGCTGTTCTTGGCAAGCTGACCTGGCCATTGGTCAGGTGCTGGTGGAGCCTGTAGCAATACTGAACATTTTAGCCTTGTGTGTCTGCCCATTTAGATGTTTCTGCTAGAGTCATTCCCGAGCAATACCCTCCAGCAGCTACTTCCTTCCAGGTATGAGTCCAGAGGAGGGCTCTGACCGTGCTTGTCTCATTCCTGTTGCTCCCTTGCTGCTGAGTGTGTCTGTGGTGGCTGTGATTTCCCGTACAGCACAACCCAGTTGAAAAACAAACAACTTCTGAAACTCCCGTATTGAGTTGATATGTGTTGGCTTGTTTACATAAAACTTGCCAGCTACTGAACAGTTGGGTAATCACAAGTTTGGTGTCTCATGTTTTGGTTTTTTAGACCATGTCAAGCAAGGAAAAGGCTAAATTTGATGAAATGGCAAAGGCTGATAAGGTACGATATGATAGAGAAATGAAGGACTATGGACCAGCTAAGGGTGGCAAGAAGAAGAAGGACCCCAATGCCCCTAAACGACCACCGTAAGTAACTTTGAGACATTAAATGCATACGTGTTTTGGTTCATTTTCACACCCTGTGTGTAACATGGGTTCCCAGGAACGAGGTAGATGGGGACTCAGTGTTGGTATAGCAGGACTGGTAGTGATACTGTCTTGAAAACCTTCTAGGCAGCTTGTGCTCTTGAGCATGTAGGGCACTGACACAAACTGTCAGTACTTGGTACTCTTAAACTCATAGTGGTAGGAGTGTCTCATAGGAAGACACTCCATGTGTCTCATAGGAAGACACAAGTGGCTGAGTCACAGTGAGACTTGTGTATGTAAGACGAAATTGGGTGAGGGGATACCAATGCTTAGTTAATAAAGAGCATTGAGTGAAGGAGGCTGCAGGTCTGCGCCTCAGTAAAATCAAAACACGTTTAAGCTTGTGTCTGATTTTGTAAGTTAAAGAAAAGTTTCTAATCTGTGTGCTCATGCATGTGGCAGTGTTGTGGGGGAGGGATGGAGGAAGGGGTGCTCCCGGGGTGTGCTGCTGCAAATGCTGACTGTCCCCTGGTGTTTCTTCCCAAGGTCTGGCTTCTTCCTCTTCTGTTCAGAGTTTCGCCCCAAGATCAAGTCCACAAACCCTGGCATATCTATTGGGGATGTAGCGAAGAAACTGGGCGAGATGTGGAACAACCTCAGTGATGGTGAAAAGCAGCCTTACAATAATAAGGCAGCTAAACTGAAGGAGAAGTACGAGAAGGTAAGGAGAGTTGTTGCTTGTGCCTCCTCTGTACCAGCTCTTTTGTTGATTTGCTTTTGTAGCATAGGCCCAGCTCAGCTGGCCCCAGCATAGTCACAGCCGAGCTTTGCACAGGTTGGGGCAGAGCAGGATAGAGATCCACAGGCAGATTTCAGCAGGGAGAGAGCTTTCCCCAGTGATGTGCAGCAGGGGCTGCTCGTGTTGCTTCAGAAAGGGTCTGCTGTGCTGTTGCTGGAGCTTTGTCCCATTATCAGGAAACTTTGAGAGGCTGGCTTCTCTTCTCCTCCTCAGAGAAATAGCCACGGTGCAGGGTTCCAGACCTCCATGACTGATGAGCATGCTGAGGTGTCTGCAAAGCTGTGTCCCCTTGGGGGTGCAGCTGGGGAAGGCCAGTCCCTTTACCTTAACACCTGCTGCTGTACAAATGCTGTGTGTGTTTGCTGCTTAGAGCAAATTAAGACATCCCCTTGACTTTGCAGGATGTTGCAGACTACAAGTCTAAAGGAAAGTTTGATGGCGCAAAGGGAGCAGCAACCAAAGCTGCTCGGAAAAAGGTAGAGGAAGAAGACGAAGAGGAGGAGGAGGATGAAGAAGAGGAGGATGAAGATGATGATGATGAATAAAACTGTACAATACTTGTCTCCATGTGAATACCATAGAGTAGGGGAAACACCATAAATGAAGCACCTCTTATTTGAGATGGTGTCTCTTGCCCTTATTAGGCTTAATTAAAAAAAAATTGGATTCCGATCGCGTTGTAGTTTCTAAAAGTGCTCTAGAAATTGTAACTGGTTTACATGAAGTGGCCATGGGTGTAGTGAGCACCCTGAAACTGTATCAAAGTTGTACATATTTCCAAACATTTTTAAAATGAAAAGGCGCTCTAGTGTTCTCCTAACTCTGTGCACTTTGCTGTTGGTGTAACAAAGCATTTAAAAATGTTTCAAGCATTTTTTTAATTTGTAAGGTGGTGTTACTATATGGTTATTGGCTAGAAAATCCTGGGTTATAAACTGTACATATCTATAGTTTGTAAAAACTAGACAGATTCTTGTGGTACATGCTTAGAGTGATGATGCCTTAGAGGAGCAGTGATTACTTGGAAAGGCTGTATGTTCCCCGGGGTGCCATGGCCCAAAGCATGCACTGTGAGGGTAGATCTATTTACACTACAGTGGGCGTCCATTTAGCTTAAAGTTGTCTTTCTGTATATAGTGAAATAGCATTCTGCTGCCATTCTTAGTTGTGGAAGGGGGTTCAGCTGGCATGAGAAGTGTATGGGTTTTTTTAGTTAAGTGCGGTAGTTTTTAAACTGAAACTGTAGACATCTCTTCATCGTCAACTAAGTGAAGAGCCAGTGCAGCAACTGAAGTTCAAAAACACTCTGTACTTAAACAAATTTGCAACGTTCTGTTTTTTTTGTATGTTTAGAATGCTGAAATGTTTTTGAAGCAAAATAAACAGTATTACATTTTTAAAACTGTTCTTGACAACACTCTAAATTTCTGGTTTAAGAGGATCTTAACAACAGCAAGAGGTTCATTTTGAAGTCTGTGGCATCCCTCAGGGCTGGTGACTTAGGAAACATTCTGACTCAAGGATTAAAAAAAAAAAAAATTTAAAAAAATGGGGGCCAGCCAAAACTGGCTGAATTGAAAGAGATGGCTGCTCCAGCTAATATGCAATCGTAACTGTTTATGGCTGAGTGGCACAAGATGCTATGCAAGTTTGAACTTTATTACTTGAACTTGGGAGCCTAAATGAACATTCATGACGTAATTGTTTGTTTGTGTGTGTATATAGCAGCATTCAGAGATGCAGAGAAAGGTAGGTGGCTAGGAATGAGGCTGACACCATGGAATAAGTATAAAAGCATAGTTTGGATTTTTTTTCCAGTTGTGTTGGGTAAATTTATAGCCCAAATGCATTGCTGTACATATTAAAATGTGCCTTTTTTGTCCTGTGTTAAACTGTTTCAGACTTGTGGTTTTTTCTAGCCTCTTGTTTCGTGGCAGGAGCCAGGCGCCTACGTCTAACTCCCTGCTGGAGGAGGAGCGTGGCGCAGGTACTTGGTCTGGGTCCTTTCTCTAGAGACACAAGGTTCAGCTGGAACTGGGGGCTCTGAGGTGGGCTGGGGGAGTGACAGCTCTCTTTCCCCTCTGCTCACCAGCTGGCTGTGCCAAAGTCTTGCCTTCTTTCCAAATCCGGGCTGGGGGTGTTTTGTGGCACTTGAAAGGAAATTCCTGGTCTCTAACTGGTGACTGTCACCTTGGTTTTCCTTAGCATGGGAACAGCACGAGTTGGGAAAACCACAGCACCCCACAGAACCTCTGAATTCCTTCCCTGTGCTGGCTCTAGCAGTTAATGCTTGCTTGGTGGAGAGCAGATGGGGGTGTGAGGGCACTTGCATTACCAGCAGGGCAAAGCTGTGGGCTGCTGTGTGCAGCTGGTTTCAGAAGATGCAGTAACTCACAGGTGCACACACTGGGTATGGGCTGCTGCCACCTCTGCTTTTGAGCCAAGTTTGACATTGATGGGGTCCAGGCTTACAGGCAGTAACATTAGAATGTGGTTAAAACTACTTAGTTGCCTAATTGGGTAGTACTTCTGGCTTCCTCTGTCTTCTCAACAGCATGACGACTTCTCACCAATAACAGCTTGGCAAAACAGTCTGGTCTAGTGTTGAGATGGACTAAAACCTGAAAGCAAAATTTTCAGAATGGAGCGTGCTAAAAAGCTTTCATGAAACATAGCAACATGTAGCAACTTTTGTTTTTAAGGCTAAGTGACAGTTGAATCACTCAGAAATACTTTTATAGTTGCTTAATTATGGTAATTTTTAGTATCTTTAATGCACAAAATGGTATTTGCCCCTATTTTATGGGCAGTTGCATTTTAAAAGCCTCAATAAAGCTGCATCTGGAAAAGAAATAGGTACTTCTGTATTTGCTACCCTTTCTGCGTGTCTTCTGATGCAAGGGAGTAGGCAGCTGGAGATCCCAGCCTGTGGAAATTTGATGGGGAAGTTGTAGAGCAGAAAAAAAAAAGTGATGGCATCAGTTCAGGAGCTCTAGTGCTGTTTCTATTGTCTAGTTGGCAAAATCTCCCCTTAGCCACATATGGGACTTGGTGTAGATCACTGTTGTGCAAATCGAGCTTGGCTTTGAATTAACTGCTAGTGAGCTGAGCCCCTATTGATAGTATCAGCAAATGAGGGCTAGAGCTGACACCTCTTTGTCTTCATTGTATTGGAAATCCATTTAAGTTGCAGAGCTTGATCAAGGTCTCATACCTTACAGTGCATTACCTACTGCTGCACACACCTAAAATATGGCATTCCTGGGGGATGCTGTTCAGTGCAGCCCTGGTGCAGGATTCCAGGGACTCACATTTGGATATTGCAGATTGTGGTGATGTTTCTTCCCTGAATACTCTGCTGTTGATGAATGCCACAGTGTGAATGCATATAAATAACACATAATTTCCCCCCCACTGTTTTGTGTTCTGACATGTCATCTCAAATATTGGGAATTGCTTAATTTCACCCAGCTCCATTATTTTCATAGAACACCCTCTAAATGCTCTTTTTTTTTTCTCTGCTTTGAAATGCTTGTAGTGTTTCAGAGAAGACATTTCTGCTTTGTGTTGCTGCACAACTCAAACTTCTAGTTCAACTTTAGTCCCAAGCCCGGCAAAGTAAATATGTCTGTTATTAACTCCATGATACGTAGAGAAGGGTAAGGATAGAATAGATTGGGCGAAGGGAGGTGATGGATGAAGAGACTTTTCCTTGCATGAATTTGACAGAGCTGACTGTGAGACTGCTGATGTTTCCAAAATGTGATGTGTTGATGCCCCTCTCCCTGCTGAAGTTGGGCTGAGGGACCAGGGCTCAGCTAAGGAAGAGGATGGTGCTGGTTCTGCAGCTGTTAAAACCCACTTACTGCTGGGGGAGGTGAGGAAGGCTTGGCTGTGTGGGATGCTCCCTCTGGATGCCTGAACAGGTGTCAGAGGTCTGAGAACTTTTGCTCAGGTGATGTGGGGCAGAGGCAGTGCTGGGCCATGTCATGCAGGCCATTTCCTGAGGTTAGTGCTGTTTGGTTTGCACTCAGCATGGTCCAGACTCTTGAGAACAGTTGCTACCAAGGTGCATCACATTGCTCTGGAATCAAACCCTTGGGGTGAGCGAGGCTGCTGGGCTGCTCTGCAGGGCAGGATCTGCCTCTCCTGAAAATGAGCCTGGCAGTCTTAGCATGACCCAGAGAGTCAGAGCTACACTGCTCTGTGGCCTGTATGTTCCAAAATTCAGTTGAGATATGGTAAATATTTGGTATGAGCCAAATCTAGCACTTAGACTGGGGGGAAAGGGCTGCATCAGGGGAGTCCCAGCATGGGTGTGGCAGCCACTCCTCACAAGCAGTCCCAAGGAAATGGTTTTACACTGCAGGATGGTTTCCTACAGCTGGGTCAGGCCCCTAACACATCTGTGGGGAAGGAGTGTGTTAATTTTCTATAGTAAAATTAATTAAAAATCCTAGTACAAATGCCTGTCTCCCTGGGAGAGTCTTCTTTGGGGATGGGACTGAGGATGCAAACACAGTCAAAGCATCTCTTGCACCTTCTTCCTTTGAACAGATCTTTTCTGGGTAGTTTTACTCACTCCTGATAAACCCTGCAGGAGCAGCAGCAAGGTGCAAGGGCTTCTCGGTCCTGGCTCAGCAGGTGAATGGCTTTCACTTCCAGCCTTCAGCACAATCCTGGCAGCCACCTTGAGTTTGTTTTCCCTCTGTTCAGTCAAGCTCTTGTGCAGAGGAACATCTCCCAAGTAAGCTGTCTTCTGCTGCAGATTTTGGGGGCTTGGAGAGGAGATAGGATGTTTCCAGTGGGTGAGAGCAGGATGCTGCCTTTCTGGCAGTGCTTTCTGACAAGCCCCAGACTCCCCTCTACGAATGTTCACCCGAGCTCACTTTCCTCTAAAAGATAATGGGAGGAACTGTGACAAGTGGCATGTTTATTTCTTTCTAGGGCTACGGCTGCACCACATTTTAATGCAATAAACTGAATTGCAAATCACAGCAGTGCTGCAAACAAAGTGTGCTGGGGACCCTGTTACCAAGCAGTTGCTCTCTAAATGTGTCAGCCTGCAGTGGGGAAGGGACTGAATAACCAGCATGCCTGACAGGGGGTTTTGTGCCCTATGAAGTGTCTTCATCCCCTTTTGCATGCTGGGCTCTGGTGTGTGCCTGCCCTTGCTTGGGCAGCATTTGATAACCTGTGTTCAAAGCACTCTGCAAACGTCTCACCCTTGCAGTAGATCTGATCTCTGTGTGCTAAAGAAATGTGTGGATGTCTCCTTGCATGTGCTAATGCTCTTGATTGGAGTTGTCTGCTGCTAAGAGCTCTTCCCTGAGTGCCCTCCTGCACCTGGATCCCTAAATTAGGCAGGAGGAAGCAGCACAGCCCTGCTGGAGCTCTGTATGCTGGGTGGGAACTCCTCCTCCTGCTCCTGGATGTGGCAGGGGCTCACAGAAACCCCCGTGAGGAGGCTGAGCCAGGGCTGAGGGGTGAGCTGGAGCAGGGGTGGCAGTGACCAGTGAAATGTGAGCTCCTGTGGAGGAGCAGACGGGTGCTGAGGTGGGGCTAAGAGCCTGGGAGGCTGGGATGGATGAAAGCAGACATTTGTCTTGTTGAGATGAAAATGCACTAACTGTGGTAAGGGATTGCCTGTCCTGTACCTGTGTCCCCTGACACTGTTCACTTCATGTCTGGCTGAATTCAGCAGCCAGGCAAACCACAGCTGGGAGCCCAGCCTTGATGTGGGGCTGGGTGTCTGATGGTGTTTGTGGTTGATTTTGAGCCCATGAGTGCAGAGGGGTGCTGCTCTGCCTCCAAACCTGCCACCTGCTCTGCCTCAGCTCCCTGGGGAGCCTGGGGAGCCAGAGCAGCCCCTCTGCACTGGTGTCACACACCACTGGAGCCAAACCTGTGTGAGGAGGAGACAGGTAGGATGCTGTGAGTGATAGAGTTGCTTTTTCTTCCCAGCCCTTCCACTTGTAAAGCTCCCTCAGGTATTTCAAGTCAGAAAAATGCTCTTTTAAAAAATATTAATCAAACATGGCCTGGCTTTGTTGTTGTAGGAGCTTATAGCTTGTAAGTGTTTTTAACTGCTTCTTTGTGAAGCTTAAAATTTGCTTTATTTAGTTAGAAAATTAATACCCATAGCAGGATGAAGTGATTTGAGGGATTGCTTGAGACAAATGCCTCTTTTCTGCTGCTAATGAGTGTGTGACTGCTCTTTTACTGTGTGTTACCTGGCTGTGCCAGCAGTAATGCATGGTCCTGCAAAAGAAGCTTGAGAAAGGTGTAAGCAGGGTCAATTTGGTCTCCCAAATTCTTACCAGATATGTTGGTTGAGTTTTGGTTTTTTTTAGCTTTAGAGCTCAGGCTGGGGATCTTCCCTGGACTTGGCTTCTGCAGTTGTTTAAGGCATTAATACCTATAGGTCCTGGCTTGGATTTCTGCCCAGTAGCAGGGAGAGCAGAAGGAAACATGATGGGTCTTCTGTTGCTTTATTTGTTGCTTCATATAGTAACTTAATTTTTGCAAGCTGCTGGGAGGTTTTTCAGACCAAGCTCAAAGATCAAGATGTCAGTAAAACTCTTACAGAGAACCCTTTCTACAAAGGATGTGTCTGAAAGTGGAATAGAACCTGACCAAATAGAATCTTTGAATTGTTTGGGTAGGAAGGGACCTTTAAGCTCATCTTGTTCAAAGCCCCCTGCTGTAGGCAGGGGCACCTTCCCCCGGACAAGGTTAGTGTTAGACTGTTTAATTACTTGCTGTCGCTTGTGTTCCATTTGCTGGTGATTCCCACCAGAGCTGTCTAGCAAAAAAATCCACTAGACCTGCATTTTGAACCTTGAGGGTGACTCACAAAAGTCTTTCAGTGGCTTTGAACTGGAAGGACTTA